AAGCTTAACTTGATTCAAACATTGTGCAAATATACATATAAGTCAAACCATTATATGGTATTCCTATAATATGTATAATTTTTATGTTTTATTATTAAATGGTTAAAGATAAACTTCAAAAAATGAAATGCTATGAACGGTAATCCTTAATGATCTTGCCTGCTTTTCCGTTTTCTTTTTCAGGTTCTGAAAGATGAAGGCCTCTTTAGTTCAAATGTCCATTCCTGGTCCATCAGCCTGGCCTGGGAGGGAGGGAAGCTCTCGTGTTGCCCTTGCCCAATGGACATGTGACACATCAGGGCAAAAGATGTTAAGGCAATCATCTGCATTGGAAAAGCATCTCACTGAGACCAGGACAAACTAAAAAAGAGATGAGAGCAGGAAGGAAAGTTGTGATTCTCGTTGTATAGGACAGAAGCTTAACAAGAAACTGGAAGGATTACAGAGTAGAGTCAAACAGCAGAAAATTAAATCAGTAATGACTGAACATTTCTCAGAAAGTTAAAGAAGGGAAACAGTAAAATTATGAGAAAGAAAATAAGGAAAAATGAGAGCAGAGGACCAGCACCCAACATTTAATTTATGTGCTAAATAAAGAACAAATAGGAAAAAACAACACTTTAAAAGAAAAAAAAAAAAAAAACTTGCCTGAACTGAGAAAAACTAAATTATATCCTTAGATGAAAAGGCTCATTAGGAACAGGTGGAATTAATGACAAACAGACCAGACGTCCAGAAATGCAAGGATGCAAATACTGAATTCCAAGGTAAGAAATTTATTCATGTAGCATCTGGGAAGCAAAAATAAAGTTTACTACAAAGAAAAAAATGTTTCAAGCTAACCTTTGCCAAACAACCACACACAACACACACACCACAACACCACAAAATTCCCCACCAGCAAGTTGTGTTTCCATAAAAACAACATGACAGCTGAGATGTGCAAGCCTCAAGATCTCATTCACCCACATAAGCCTTCCAGGGAAAACTCCTCAGATAGCTTCCTCCAGCCAAAACACGGAAACCAGAGCATTAGATACACCCAGGATGAAAAGATTGCAAGTGACCACATAGTCCTGTCACATGAAAGTTCAGGTAACCACAGATGTAATTGAAAAGTTCATTATTTTGTAAAAAAAAAAAAAAAACAACCATAGTATAAAAATAACATAAGCATATACATCAATTTCTAAATTATCCAGAGCTGGTGAACTTTATTTTAACTAGTTTCATAAAATAATAATTAGTAAAAGAAAGAAAGAAGAGGAAAGAGAGAAAAGTAGGTCAAGCCCAATACAGTGGCCATGGGTATAATCCTAGATTCTGACGCAGCAGGCACAGGAGGGTCACAGTTCAAAGCAAAACCTGGGAAATAAGTTATAAGACCTATCTCAAAAATACCCAACACAAAAAATGGGCTGGTAAAGTGGCCCAAGCGGTAAAGTGCCTACCTTAGCAAGTATAGGCCCTGAGCTCAAACCCTAGTACCATCCAAAAAAAAAAAGTAGGTTAAGTATGGGAGATCAATTTAAAATCATCTGAAGCTATAGCAAAATTCTTCCTGAGGCTTTTTACAAATAGGGTAATGTGTGCTTATGCCATGGCCTTTTAATAAAGAAATATATAAACATTAACATTTAAACCAAAAATATACATCATAATAGTGAATTTGTAAAAAATTAAAATTATTATAGGTACAGGGATAGGAACTTAAACTTTAGAAAGCGCCTATTGTTCAAAAACATAGAGCCAGCAGAGTTTCACTTCATGTTCTGCTGTGTGGGATGGCCCTTGTCTTAGACAGCTTTGATACTTAGACAAAGTATCAAAGACCAGGTGGCTCAAATAACACATTTGTTTCTCATCATTCTGGTTACTGGGAAGTCCAAAGTCAAGGTGCCAGAAGACTTGGTTCTTGGTAGGGCTCTCTTCCTAGCTTGTAGACAGCTTCCTTCTCACTGTGGGTTCACATGGCCTTTGCTTGATGCATGTGCATGGGGAGAGAGGGCTCTTCTGTAATGCTCTTCTATAAAGAGCACTAATTCTATATAAGGATCCCACCTCATGACCAATCTGAACCCTATGTCTCGCAAAGGCCCCAGCTCCAAACACCATCACACTGGGGATTAGGCTTCAAACATATGAACTGGGGAGGGAGACACAAGCATTCACCCATAACAGCCCTCCACCTCTCATCAGATCTGCAGCTGTAGTGCAGCACCCAGTAAGGTCTGTAGGCCACACCACTGTCCTCTGCAATATCCTCCACCCCCACGGGGCTTTATGGGCCTGCTCGGTTGTGAGGAAGCATGCACAGAGCAGTTTCCAGAAGCTCAGGTCCCCAGCACCACAGAGCTCTAGCACCCAGTGTCCTCCTCTGTCCTGGCCTACACAGCCCTGAGTCTAGCCTGTCACCTGTGATCATTCCATCATGTAAACATTTTCAGGCACAGGGAGGTGACCCAGAGAGCATGGAGAGTAATCCCTTAGCTCCCTCCTGGGAGGATGGGCAGGGAAATGGGACGGGGCAGAGTGGGAAGGTTGGCAGCTCCATCCTAGGTGTGCTTCATTTCCCTAAAAAAGACAAAAAACCCAATTCAGCCAGCTGAGTGGCCTGTGAGTGGCTTCAGTGGCCCTCAAGTTTAGAGCTGGGGAGGGCAAATGGAGGAAAAGAAGAAGCTAGATTGAGTGGGGTGTTTCTCAATGGGAAGGAGTGACTGGAGGAGGAAAAGCATAGGGTTGAGGAATAAATCCAATATGTTTTTGTATAAATGTTGGTTATAATTCACCTTTAACAAAGTCTCAGACATTTACTGTGAATCATTTGCATCACTGAACATGTGCTGGGGGTGTGGCTAAGTGGTGGAGCACACACTTGGCATGCATGAGGCCCTGGCTTCAACCTCCAGCACAATAACAACAAAAGAAATCACTGAACATTCAAGCTATTCATTATTCCTCTTCATAAAAATCACAATTACACTGCCCTGGAGGCATTGCAGGTG